ACCTTCATAATCTCTTTGTTTTATTTAAGTTGATACTCTGTAGCCTGACATCACATTTTTATTCATGTTTTAGTACCAACTGGTGATAAGTATTTATTAATTTGTTTATTTCTTTTGGGGCTAGAGATGAAACCAAGAGCTTTACACAAGCTACTCAAATGTTCTTACCACTGAGTTTTCTGCCCCATTTGTGTGTGAATTAGTTCTCTACCACTTAGTCCTACGCCTGGCACACAGGAGATGCTCAATAAATGTTTGTTCAGTTGATATGTCTTTTTCTTTTTTCGGTCTTTTTGAGACAGGGTCTCCCTGTAGTCCCATCTGGCTTAGAACTCACTATGTAGACCAGGCTACTTTTGAACTCACGGAGATCTGCCTGCCTCTGCCTCCCGAGTGCTGGGACTAAAGGTGTGTGCCACCACCCCCAGCCGTTCTTTTCTTTCTTTTTAAAAAAGATTTTACTTATTTTTAGCTTACGTATGAGAGTGTTTCACCTGCATGGATATAAGTAAACCACATGTGTACAATGCCCATAATGCCAGAAGAGGGTGTCAGATTGCCTAGAGCTACAGACAGTTGTTAGCCATCATGTGGGTGTTGAGAACTGAACCCAAGTCCTCTGTAAGAACAGCCAGTGCTCTTAACCACTGACTGAGCCATCTCTCTAGCCCAAATAAGTTATTTTCTTATTCCTAAAACATTTATTCTCCGTAGACTGGTCCCCTTTCTTTTTTTTTTTTTTTTTGAGACAAGGTCTTCCTGTAGTTCCAGCTGGCTAGGAACTGACTATGTAGACCAGGCTGGCCTCCATCTCACAGATACTACCCTCAACTCTACCTTCTGAATGCTGGGATTAAAGGCTTGTGCCACCACGCCCAGCTAAAGTTTTTTTTTTTTTTAAGACAAGGTATCAGGTAGCCCAGGTTGACTAATGTAGCTGAGGATGACTTTGAATTTTTGTAGCTTCTGTTTCTACCTCCAGAGTCCTGGGATTATAGGCATGCATCAACAGCCCAGAGGTGGTACATGTCTTTAATTCCAGCACACAGGAGGCAGAGGGAGGTAGAGCGCTGTGAGTTCTAGGCCAGCCTGGTTTACACATCCAGTTCCAAGCCAGCTGGGGCTATAGGGAGACCCTGTCTCATAAATAACAAACAACAGTGACACCTACCCCCCACAGCCAGAAAAAAACAGGCATCATCAACATGCCCAGTTTATGTGGTGCTGGGGATCAAACGCAGCACTTCTTGTAAGCTAGGCAAGTGCTCTACCTACTGAGCTGCATCACCAGCTCCAGCATACCTCCTTTTGAGATAAGGTGTTACTCCATAACCCAGGCTGGTCTTGAACTAGAAGTCATTCTCCTGCCTGAGCCTACTGAATGCTGGGATTATAGACATGTGTCTGTGCCTGGCTTCCCTTAAAGTCTCATCCCACTTCTGTGGTTACCCTCTACCTCACATCGCTGTCTACACAGCTGTCCCACTGGTAGCCCCATCCCTTGGCTCTTGGCTGTCAGCTCTCGGACCTGTCCCTCCTTCAGGGAGCCCCACCTGAGATCAGGTGCTTCTCAGACAACATGATCTTGGTGACAGGGCTGCGATGCACAGTGAAGGTCTGGAAGAGCTGGGGACCCGAGCCTACAGTCTCGGGGTGCTGAACGATGACCCGAACACTCCCTGAGCTGGTGCCATAGGCGATCTCAATCCAGTCCCCACTGTCACCTATTGAGGGGCCAAGGAAAAAGGGAAGGCCTGTGTCATGGAGAGACAGAACCAGGGCAGAGAGAGAGCCAGAGTCGGGGAACAGGGGGGATGGAGGGGCAAGGCAGAGAGGCGTGGGAAGTGGAGGACAGCAGACAAAGGTGTGAAGCAGAGAGACCCAAGATGGCCATCATGACAGAGAGGCCGAGTGAGGGGTGCACGCCTGCAACCCCAGAACATGGGAGGCTGAGAGGAAGGACTGTGAGTTTCAGGCCAGCCTGGGCTGCACAGTGGGGAGATAGAGCGAGAGTGTGAGATAATAGGTTAGAGAGAGGTCCATTAAACAGACAAGAGCCCAAATCCGAGTGTGTGTCTCAGACTACAAACCACAGCTAACTTCTCATGCCGAGAATCTCAGAAACTTAATAGACCATCCTAAGAACACATGGGGTACACAGCTCTAGCTCTTTGTATGGTAGTCACAGGTGATGCACTCATATCACACACAGGAAGATGCAGAAGAGCAGGGAAGACAGCTGGGGCTCACTCGAGAGGCTGAAGCAGGATGAGGAGTTTAAGAATAGAGATAGTGGTGGTGTGGTGGCACATGTCTTTAAGCCTAGCAGAGGCAGGAGGATCTCTGTAAGTTCAAGGCTAGCCTGGTCTACATAGTGAGTTCCAGGCCAGCTGGAGCTACAGGGAGACCCTGTCTCAAAAAGACCAAAAAAAAAAAAAAAAAAAAAGAGAGAATAGTGGCTACCCTGGGCTACATAGTGTGTTCCAGGCTAGTCTGGGGTAAAGAGTAAGATCCTGTGCGCTCATCAAAAAGAAAATATGGATCTGTCCACTACGCAGCACATATCCATCATTTTGGTTTTATGAATATGCAAATGTCAATATGCTTTGATCAGAGATGGGAAAGATGCAGAGATTAACTAGCAGTGGCTCTGAAGAGACCAACTAGAGTCCAGCACCTAGAATAGGGCTGAAAACACATACACTAGGGGCTGGACAGACAGCTCAGGGGTCAAGAGCACTGGCTGCTCTTGCAGAGGACCTCAGATCGGTTCCCAGCACCCACATGGCAGCTGACAACCGTCTGTAACTATAGTTCCAGGGGACCTGATTCTATCTTCTAGTCTCCAAGGGCATTGTACACACTAGTACACAGGTACATTCAGGCAAAATACTCAAACACACAAAATAAATGTAAAAAAATGTTAAGGGGCTAGAGAGATGACACAGTGGTTAAGAACACTGTTCCTGCAGAAGACCTGGGTTTGATTCCCAGCACCCACATGGCAGCTAACAACTGTCTGTAACTCCAGTTCTAGGGGATCTGATGCCCTCATCTGGCCTCTGTGGGCATTGCATGACATGGGTGTACTTACTACATGCAGGCAATATACTCATACACATTAAATAAATAAATTTTAAGTAAATTATTAAAAATTGTAAAAAAAGGATAAAACCAACCAAACACATGCTAATGGAAAGAGAGCTATACAGGTCCCCCCGTTGCTGAATCCCACAGTACATACTGCATAAGCAGGGGCACAGCTACAGACCAGGGATGGGGCTGTGTGGTAACAGCGGGGACAGAGCTCCGTCATAGCTTACTGGTTTTGGGGGTGAGGTAGACGCTGAGTGCGGTGACTCCATCCTCCGCCGGGTCCCGGTAGAGCTCACTGACAAGGAGATCATTGTCCTTCATGCGCAGGGGGAACTTCTGTACATCTTGGTGGGTGGACAGGCAGGGGAGGGATGCGTTGGTCTGAGGCACCTGGCCTGACCCACCTCCTTCCCACCCCTGCCCCCTCCAGTTGCCAGAAGGCCGATGCTTACCTACATAATAGATGGAACCATTGCTGCAGCCCAGGAGGAGGAAGGAGCCGGCTGCATCATAACTGGTAATGGGCTGGACCTCCTGGACCTGGGACCAGGGAGGGAAGGAGGCAGTGCTATGGGACCTTCTGGGCCTTTGCTCCCACAGTGGCCCTCTATGTGCCTCACATAGGCCTGAGGCCTGTCTTTCTTGGCCTTGCAGGTACCATCTGTCTCCTCCTGTAATATCCTGGCTCTCCCTCATTGTCTTGAGGAACTCTTTGCCTTTCCTTTACTCTGTTTTTCTTGATTTTTGACACACAGCCTCATGTAGCTCAGGCTGGCCTTCAACTAGCTAAGTAGCCAAAGCTGCCCTTGAACTCATGAACCTCCTGCCTCTATGTCCTAGGTACTGAGATTACAGGCCTGTACCACACTATGCCTGACAGTCTCTTAGACTTTCTAGCTCGTGTTGTGTCTATCTATCTATCTGGATCTATAAGTATCCAAATGGAACTTAGGGCCTCCTGCATGTTAGCCAAGCACTGTGAGCCACACCCCAGCCCCTCACTGGGGGATTCTAGGCAGGTGCTCTACCACTGAGCCACACCCCAGCCCCTCACTGGGGGATTCTAGGCAGGTGATCTACTACTGAGCTAAATCCTGAGCTCTGTTTTACTTTTTGAGACAGTCTCACTAAGTTGCTCAGGTTGGCCTTGAATTTGGAATCATCCTGCCTCAGCCTCCCGATTAGCTGGGGTTACAGGCCTGCGCCCCCAGACTTAGCCTTGCTATACAGTTCTGACTTTGCTTCATCTCCTCCTTTGTTCCTCTTCTGTTTTCATTTCTCCATCCATCTGCTTTTTTTGACTGCCTCTCTCCCGGCATACTTTTGTGAGGGAAACACAATATTATAGATTTTTTCCTTCACATTTTAGACATGGCCTGGGCTGGGGACAAGGTGATGGGCATTTGCACATCTCTCTCTGGGCTCCCTCCTTCCATACCATCTTCTCACATCAGTTCTTCCACCCAATGCTTGGTCCCTCTTCACTCTTTTCTAATCCCACTCAACCTTCATGTTGATTCCGCAGCCGATGCTCCAGGAAGGCCTCCTGGGTTATTTATCACACACATCCACTGCTGGGTTCTCTGGCACTCTCTAGGTGGAGTGGGAGCAAAAGGAACTGCTGGACCTGTCCAGTCTGGACACCTGGGAACAGGGAGCCAGGCTGGCCCACACTTACCTGCCAGTGTTTGGTCACAGCATTCCACACACCGATGCGCCCCGTGTGGCTTGTGGCTATGAGCTGGTTCCCAACGAAGAACAAGGCCTCTACAGGCACACCCAGGTGGAAGACGCCTATGGGCAGCAAGGGGGTGCTCAACAGGAAGGCCATTCACAGGAGGACAGGAGAGGCAAGAACTCCACAGGGCTGGGTCGATGAGGATTCCAGGAACCACACAAAAATTTCTGATAGATGTGGGACTCTAAGGATACGTAGAATTCCAGCAGGCTGAGACTTCCAAAGAGGCCAGAACTCTGCTGTCAGGGCAAAGGCATCTGACAGCTGAGCACTGACATTTTTGTTGTTGTTATTGCTATTGTTTTGAGACAGCCCAGGCTGGCCTCCAACTCACTGTGTAGCTAAGGATAAACTTGCACTTTGATATTCTTGCCTCCACCTCCGGAGTGCTGGGATTACAGGTATGCACCACCCATATGTGGAGCTGGGGATTGAACCCAGGGCTTCACGCATGCTAGGCAAGCACTCTACCAAATCCCTGGCTCCTGGCATGGAACATTCTAATAGTGATGAAGGCCTTGGGGTGGAGTTCAGTGGTAGAGTGAATGCCTAGGGTCTTAGGTTTAATCCTCAGCATCAAACACCAAAAAAGGGAAAATAAAAACATAATAAGCCAGGTATGGTGGCATACATCTTTAATCCTAGCATTCAGGAGACAGAGGCAGGTGAGCCTCTTAAGTTCGAGGTCAGCCTGGTCTACACAGCAAGTTCCAGGTCAGCTAAAATACTCATCTCAAAGAAACAATAAATAAATAAATAAATAAACAAACAAACAAACAAATAAAACCAATGTGGGTCAGCGAAATGGCTCAGGGAGTAAGGGTGCTTGCCACCAAGCCTGATCATCTGAGTTCCATCCCACAGACCCACATGGCAGAAGGAGAGAAATGACTCCTGTAGTTTGTCCTCTGACCTCCACATGCATGTCCTTGCATGCATGTGGCTACCTCCCACAGACACACAAACAACTAACATGCAATAAAAACAAATAAGTAAATAGAATCAGGGCTTCAGCCATGCATTGTGGCTCATGCCTATAATCCAGCACTGAGGAGTCTGAGGCAGGAGGATCATCAATTCAAGGCCAGCCTGGGATACATGGTAAAACATATCTAAAAAAAATGAAACAAACCAAAACAAAACCCCACTAAACAAACAGGGCAGGAACTCCAACGGAGGGGACAGTGAGACAAGGGTGGGTCTCCTAACTGGCCAAGGAATTCCAACAGATATGGTATTCTAAAGGTCTGGAACATTCTCACAGAGCAAAGAGATTGACGGAGCACAGAATTTTTATGGGTTTAAAAGTTTCATGGGTTGGGTTATTTTAACAGGTTATAGAATTCTCCAGGCAGAGGGGGTTCGAGAACAGAGCTCCAGCCATACCTATCTCAGAGCCACCACCTTGCGCCTGCAGAGCCCACAGCAGGATCTCGCTGCCTGTGGCCGCAGCCACCATCTTGTCATGCTCACCAGGGGCCCCACCAAGCACCCGAGCTGTGAGTGCCAGGCGCTCGATAGGCCAGTCCAGGCGGGGGCTGGAAAATGCCAGCTGCCAACCAGAGGCTTCCTTCAGCCTGTAGGATGGAAGATGGGGGCAATCAGCAACCCCTACCTCAGAGCCTCCCATCCATCACAGGGCTCACCTCCCAGCACCCTATCCCCACCCTCAGTACCTATAACAGACGAGAAAGTGGGTATAGGCCACAGCAATCCAGTTGTGGTGACCACACACCAGACGCACCATCCCTGGCTCCTCTGGTTGGCCTTGGGGGGGGGGGAAGGGAAGAGAGCAGGGTGATAGGTGCCTATTGGCTTCCGTGACCTCCTAGAAGACAGAAACTTAACCTAGACCTGGTGGCTCAGGCCTGGAATCCTGGAAACACAAGTTCTTCGAGGCCAGTCTAGGAAATTTAGTAAGACCCTGTCTCAAAACAGAAAATAAAAAGTGGGTTGGGGGCAGGTAAGTTGACTCAGCAGGTAAAAGTACAAGCCTGACAACCTGAAGTCGATTCACAGAACCAACACAGGAGGAGAGAACCCACTTCCTCAAGTTCCCTCAAGTTGTCCTCTGACCTCTACAAGTCTGCCTTGATAGTCACACACACACATACACACACACACCCCGACACTACTAATAATTTAAAAATAAACAAGGGGCTGCAGAGCTGACTCAGTGGTGAAGAACACTGGCTGCTCTTTCAGCTCCCAGCACCTACATGGCAGCTAACAACTATCTGTAACTCCAGTTCCAGGGCATCTGACACCCTCTTCTGACCTCCACGGGCACTGTGTGACACGGGTGCACATGCATGCAGGCAGAGTACTCATACACATAAAATAAAGAATAAAAACTACAGAGACTGAGGCAGGAGGACTGCCTTGAGCTCTAGGTCCACCTGAGCCACAGAGTGAGACCCTATCTCAAAGAAACAAAAGAGGGCTAGGGATGTAGCTCAGTGGTAGGATTTTTGCTCTATATACATGATGTTCTAGGTTTAATCTTGCTATCTCTCACAAAAGACAAAAAACTCACCTGATGGGGATGGAGGGGCTCTCTCATCCAGCATTCGGCCCAGCAACCCTGCATTGCCCAAGTTGGGGGGCATCGTGTTGCTCCGTCGAACAGGGGCTGGGCGTCCCCCTACCTGCTGGGGCCCCACTAGGCTGTGTCGGTTTCGCCGCTTTACTGGGAACACTAGAGTGGGAGGAAGTGATAGTCATAAGCACTATAATCATGGTGGGCAGTCTGCAAGCACTTAAACATAAGTGTCCCATGTGGGACATAGTGTTCTGATGAAGATATCCAGCAGTGCTGGGATGTGGCATTCAATGACACTGAGTCACAAAGCGAGTGGCTTCTTTTTCAGAACCCAGAAGCCCATTACAGAGGAAGACCTGGTTTGATGCTGTCATAATATTAATATCTTTTCAGTATTTCCTAATTTTAGCCAGGCCTGGTGGGTAGGCCTATAATCTCAGCTACTTGGAAGGCTGGAGCTGGAGGACGGTTAAGTTAAAGGCTAAAGGCTAACCAAGGCAACTTAGTGAGACCCTGTTGCAAAAAAAAAAAAAAAGTAAAGTGCTGGAGATAGCTCAGTGGGTAAAGGCGCTTGTCACCAAGCCTAATAATCTGAGTGTGATCCCAGGCAAAGTTGTCCTCTGACTTCGACAGGTGGACCATGGCATGTGTCTTCCCCAACTCCCCCAATTAACAAATGCAATAAAAAATTTTTTTGTTTTTGAGATAGGGTCACCCTGTAGCCCCAGCTGGCCTGGAACTCACTATGTAGACCAGGCTGGCCTTGAACTCACAGAGATCTGCCTGCCTCTGCCTGGCCGTAATAATTTTTTTTATACAAGTTTAAAAAGCTGGGCATGGTGGTACACACCTTTAATCTCAGCACTTGGATATCTGTAAGTTCAAGGCCAGGCCTGGTAGGCTAGCCAGAACACCACAGTGAATCGCTGTCTATGAAACAAAACAACAACAACAACAAAATAAACACAACCCTTGCCCCCCAAAAAGGTGAAAAAAGAAGAGGGGGCTGGGGCTGTAGTTTAGCAGTAGAGTGCATTCCTAGACTTTATCAGTGAAAATTGGGGGCGTGGCTCAACAGTAGAGCCTTGCCTGCCTGGAATCTGCCAGTGTGGGGCTGGGGTGTGGCTCAGTGGTAGAGCTCCTGCCTAGAATCCCCCAGTGAGGGGCTGGGGTGTGGCTCAGTGGTAGAGCACCTGCCCAGAATCCCCCAGTGAGGGGCTGGGGTGTGGCTCAGTGTAGATCACCTGCCCAGAATCCCCCAGTGAGGGGCTGGGGTGTGGCTCAGTGGTGGAGCACCTGCCCAGAATCCCCCAGTGAGGGGCTGGGGTGTGGCTCAGAGGTAGAGCACCTGCCCAGAATCCCCCAGTGAGGGGCTGGGGGTGTGGCTCAGAGGTAGAGCACCTGCCCAGAATCCCCCAGTGAGGGGCTGGGGTGTGGCTCAGTGGTAGAGCACCTGCCTAGAATCCCCCAGTGAGGGGCTGGGGTGTGGCTCAATGGTGGAGCACCTGCCTAGTATACACAAGGCCCTGGGTGCAAACTTCAATACTGCAATAAAGAAATAAATAATAATAGGGGCTACAGAGATGCCTCATTGAGCAAAGCACTTGCTACACTTTTGCTACACAAAGCATACTCTGCAAGCATGAGGTCCTAGGTTTGGACCCCAGTGCTAGGGAAGTGGAGAGAGATGGAGCCTTGTACCCCTATGTCAGCCAACTAGTGAGCTCCAGATTGAGCGAGATCCCATCTCAAAAAGTAAGGTGGAATGCGATGGAGGAAGATACAAGACACCCACCTCTGGCCACCACATGTACACACACATGGGTGCAGATACACATGCATACACCATACACACATACATGTAACTAATAATGATAACAAAATAAAATAAAAATTGGTCAACTTCCCTAATAAAGGGAAGCCCTCTTCCTAAGAAGGCAACAGCCTCTAGTCAGAGTCTAGTAACACTGTTCTTGTCACTAATAACCCTGTTTTCTTTGTATTTTTGGTAATATGATAATGTTTCTATTTTATTCGGGGGGAGTATTTCTTTTGTTGTTGTTTTGATTTACTTCAAAAAAAATTTTTTATGTGTATGAGTGCAATGCCTGCATGTGTGTAAGTGCACCCATGTCATGCAATATTATTGGAGGTCAGAAGATGGCATCAGATCTCCTGGAACTGGAGTTGTAGACAGTTGTTAGCGGCCATGTGGGTGCTGGGAATTGAACTCAGGTCCTCTGCAAGAGCAGTCAGTGCTCTTAACCACTGAGCCATCTCTCCCACCCCTTTTTGAGACAGGGTCTCCCTGTAGCCCCAGCTGGCCTGGAACTCACTACGTAGACCAGGCTGCCTTTGAATTCACAGAA